CAGCCCTAATTTCATCTTGTGAAATGGCATATTTTGCTTGTTTTTTCAGCAGTTATCACTAGCATCTCAGATGTCATTGAGCTCCAGGAACAAATTTGAGGCATTGGTTTCACTACTAGTCAGGAGTAAGGATAATTCAAGATAGTTATGATACTAGTCATCCAACAACTATCTTGTCAGTTAGTTTATAAAGATGCAGTGGTTGTTGGTAGATGTTTTTTGTGGAATATCCAGTTTATTTTTAGCCATTTTTAACCTGTTATTTTTAGATCTACAAAAACAGTCTTTATAATATTATTTGAACTCTTTCTCATAATCACGCTGGTTTATAGTGCACGTTTCACGGTTTACCTACATTTGATATTCTTCTAGCTATTTACCTTTAGTGGCTAATGAATCGGAGTCTTGCACATTTACAGGAAATAGCTTGTTTTCAAAATGAAAAATAAGATGGATAACCTTCTTGGCATATTTGCATTTTATATAATTTACTTTCAAGCTGCATTGTTAGGCTTTATTATTATTATTTTTTTTTTTGATCATTCAAATTCTAAGTATCAATTTCAGATTCACATATCAAATATGATGCATCAGGCGTTTGATGAATGTTTAGGCCTATTTTTTTCCATCTCACAATCATCATTATATTTTGCCCCCCAAAATAAAAACTACAGAGCTTTGATCATAAAATCCAAGCATTTAAATATCATCTTACTAAAACATACTGATATCTGTATGCAATTTATGTAACTAGTCTGCTATACGGTTTTAAAAATCTCATGGATTGACATTAGGGATGCACCGATAGGATTTTTTGGGGCTGATACCGATAACGATTTTAACAAACACTTATTGGCCGATACCGATATTTGTCACTTGCTCTCTTATTTGAAATTTTGTCATCAAAATAGATAGTATTTTGATCATGTTTTAAATCAGCAAAGTTCAAAAACACCTGCATTAAATTATACTAGGAGTTTTATTGCTGCATCATCAAATAATTTCTAATGAACATGGATTGGATCCATTTAACATTCAGCAGGCCTACATAAATACAACAGAACAAAGATACATATTAAATAAAGTGCTTTTTAGGTAGGTTTAACAGTTTTCAGGTACAGAAATAAAGTAAACAAATGTAAAATAACACTTCCCTGTATAAATTAAATACATATTAATCCTTCTTTATTGTAACATACTTTATTATGATTAATTTTCTGATTAGTTTTTGTATACATTTTAATATTTTTTGTAAATGTAAATATTTATGAGATCTCCTTTACTAAGGTGGGACACTTATTTTGATGGGTTTTCTAGTCTATGTCGGAGCTTAAGTTATATGAGTAATGAAAGCACGCAGTTCTTCGGATTTAAAGTTTGTCAGTTTATTAAGCACCCCCTGAAAAGGCAACTGAGAGAGAGAGTGTAATGTGCACTTCTCGTGCTGTGTTTTGTTTAGCTCTTATGGTGATTTGTTTGGAGTGAAAAAGGACGCAATAAACTTAATAAAACATCAGTAAAATTTTAGTCATCATTTAGATGAGGTCCGCTAAACTTATGAAAGTTACAAAAGTTATTTAGTCAAGAATACTGTGCGATCTTTTGTCTTTTGTTATTTGATTAGCATTAAAGTGCAGACAGCAGCGCTAGGATTATGCAACAGACATTATACAGCTCAGTGCCTTCACACAGTTAATTAATAAGCCATCGGTTTGTTATATCGGCCTTTTTCCTTATATAGCCGATAGGGCTGTGTATCACTAGCAAAGTCACGATACGATACATATCACGATACAGATGCCACGATACGATACGTATCACGATACATGACTGCACTGAATTTCACCTCAGCTCACAGAATTTAGTAAAACAGCTGTTTATTAAACACTATAGTGCCTAGTGTTGTCACGGTACCAAAATTTCAGTATTCGGTACCGATACCAGTGAAAATCCACGGTTCTCGGTACCAATTTCGGTACCAAAGCAAAACACAAAAACATGCTAATTGAACAACATTTTTATTAATAACGTTAAACAAAACTTATGCTAACGATTAACTACGTATACGCTAACGGCGATGTTTATTTCAATCCGAAATTCAAATTAAAATATGGAATAATATTCATAACAGAAGCTCTAAATATTACAAATGTAATGGAAACTTACCTGCTTCAACTTGATAGGGATGTTTTGTTCGTTTGATGCGTTTCCTCCTCTTGAGGTCGCCACTGCTTTTAAGAAGAGGTTGCCAGGTTTTCACAATAAAACCCGCCCATTCGCGTTTCGAGGGGATCCCCCGTTAAAAATCGCGTTCCGAGGATAAAATACGCATGTTTTGGTGGGGTTCCCCTGGTAAAATTCGCATTCCAGGGGCTAAATATCACGTTAGTGGGGTCGTTTTTCAACCCGCGGACATGAAAAACAACCCGCGGCAACAGTGTTAAAGCAGCCCAATTCCGCAGGAAAACTGCGGACTTGGCAACACTGGAAGAGGATAGCTTTCGGATAGTGCTTCAAGAACCGGGTTGACCGGGTACTCGGTACCACCGGTACTTAAGAAAACCTGGTACCGTAACATTTTAATTTTTTTAGTACCGACTTGGTACCGAAATACCGGGTCTTTTGACAACACTACAACAGACATTATACAGCTCCGTGCCTTCACACAGTTAATTAATAAACCATCGGTTTGTTATATCGGCCTTTTTCCTTATATATCCGATATTCCGATGGTTGTAAATTGAGGAAAAATCGGCCGATAAATATCGGCGGCCAATACATCGGTGCATCCCTAATTGACATAAGTTATCATAATGTAATTGTTGGTCATATAATTAATATCTGTATTCTGTACCAAATTACATATTTTTGCTCAGTTTGGGCCTCTCAATGAAATGTTTGTTTTTTTAAGTGTGAACCCAATATTATAATATATTTGTATATATACGGTTCAATAAGATGTTCCAAAATAAAAAAAATAAAAAATCGGACTTGTTTCATATGGATTAAGTTCGAATTAGTCCTATATAATGTTTTCACTGAACTAGCATTGTTTCATTATACTGTAATCTGTTTTTCTCTTTCACCCACATTGAGTTAGCCTAGCAGCTACCAATGTGAATTAGCCCACTAGCTAACACTGAACAACACTAGCCCACTCAAAACCGCAACGAAAGACTCAAGTCCCGACAGGCTAGGCCTGTTCATTCTTTCAGCAATATGTTCCCTAGCAATAAACGCACTCATTTGCCTTTTGTACCATCTCTCTTTTATGAATGATATCCAAAATCTCTGATGCTGCTTTGGAACCGGTGGCCGTTTGCCTGAGGAAAACCGGTCATCGTGTTTGTTGGGTGTTGTTTTAGAAGCATCCGCAGGGCCTGCCCCTTCCTGGCATCCTTTCAGTCGAGCGATATGCTGTGTAGGCGTGCTGTCCTGCTGCTTCCAGCCTTCTCGAAGCAGCTTCAAGGCAAATCCCACGGAATGGATGCCAGCTTCCTGGTATTCTTCTGAGAGTCGTTTTTCCAAAATCTCCAAATGACTGTTTGATGGCATAGAGTGGAGTTTACGATCGCAAAAATTAACCGTTAGAAACGGTTGCGCTACATTCAGGGTCGATTTCCTCACTGCAGTCTTGCTCATCTTGCCCGACACTTGTCTTTGAGTGGGCATGTTGAAGCATGTCTTGGCCTGTGTTTGAAAACCATTACTCATTTTCTTTTTTTAATGGCTTGGTGACATCGTTTCCAGTGAAATTGTGGATTTTAATTATTGCCACTGTGGGGGAAAAGCCAAGCATCTTTACATGTTTCAATATGTCAGTCGTAAGCCATTTTGAATGCTGTTAAAACAACAAATTTGATTTCAAGAAAATGGGTGTGGTTGGTCTCTGTCTAAATATTTACATGTTTATGACAAATCTCCCACAGTGATTGCAATTTAACCACAGTTTGAAGCTCTTTACCGTCTTAAATATCCCGTGAACTGCGCTCAAACCTTCTGTTGCGTAATCATTTTTGCCATCTGCTGTGTCTGAGCAAACAGAGCCTTTGCTCTCTGTATGTTCAGAACACTCAACGGCATTAATAGACCCAGAATGTCTTAAAATATCACATTGTCTACATGTAAGATAGACCCTGTCCAATGACATGGGTTGGCTGTTATCTAGAGTAAACAGTTTATTGTCATTGAATTATGTTCTGGTCATTTGCTCATGATGGTCAAACAAAGTATCATTATCAGTCCAGTAAGTTTTCGGTGTGGGCAGGACTATCCAGCTTGGAAACCAAGCGACCAACAAAATGTAGTATTGCTTGTCATAGCTGGGTTAAGATATAGGCTAAGTCCCTACATAGCTGTAAAAGCATCTGTTATCCATTAGAAAAATATGTATTTATTTACTGTTATTTGTTTTATTTTAATATTTCATAATATATATTATATATATTTTAATGATATCTATATTTATTTTATTGTTGGTATTTTATATATTTTTTATTTTGATCATTAAAAATAAGAAATCAGGAAGGAGGGGGCCAACACTTTTTCACACCACTGTGTGTATATATATATATATATATATATATATTGTTTAATTTATGGTATTTTCATTTTACGTTTGGTATTTTCATTTTTTATTTGTTGTTATTTTTATATTAATTCGTTTTTATTTTATAATATTTTATTGTAAGTATTGTAATATCTGATATCTTCAGTATACCATGGTACCACTGTAGTACTTTTAGGGGCTGCATTAAGTGTATGCTTGTGTCAGCTTGTGCTGTTATACACGAAGAAATTCTTCTACACATCTCCATCTCAAGGTCTTCGTAAAGGAAATATAAAAATAAATAAATCTCTGCTCTCGAGCTCTTTATAAAGGAAACATAAAGAATACATCTCTGCTAGTGGAGAATATTGCAATCACATTCAAAGTTTTCACTGGCATCCTTGTGTTGCTAATTGGAATAGATTTAATTTTGTTCCCTGTTATCTGACAGTTTTTAAGAGAGGACCTCAACTACCATGACCCCAAAGCCAAGCACAACAGTTTCCACGGTGACGACCAGCTCATAAGCGTGGAGGACCTGTGGAATGCCTGGAAGAGTTCGGAAGGTGAGCGCGACCGTTTCATAGTGAGCCATTAGCGCTAAAAGCTGCTTGTCAGGCTTTTCTCACATGCAGTGGGGAATATGTTGTACCTTTTCATGAGAAACCGCTCATCGGTTGACCTTTGCTAATGCGGCCTCACATTCTTACAAGGTTTTTGCTGACTTTAAAATGTCAGAGTCAGATTTTTTTTATGTCTAGTTTTTTCAGTTGACTGCACAATGTGCCTTGAACTGTACTGCTGAATGAAATGCTGCGGGAAAAAAAATCGGTTAATTTAAAATATTTCCCAAATTCATTTTGTGATACCACATGGTTTTACCATGGCATGTATCATGAATAACAACATGTTGTTGTTTTTTTATATTACTTGGCCATGTTAATACAGTGGTAAAGGAACATGGAAAAATGATCAATGCCATAATATTTTTGTTTTACAGTACTGTAAAATGTCAACAATGTTTATTATTTGTGTTATAATAATAATAATAATATATATTTTTTATTTTACAGTGAAATATTACAACAGAAGTATTTTATTTTGTTTTTTTAGTAATAATAATAATAATAATAATAACAATATGTCTATACCTTAATGTAACATGGTACAATCATAATGCTAATGCATGGTACATTTTGTAGGGCATGTGTTGAGTGTTACATGGGCCTCTTAGCAGCAGGAGTGTGAATGCTTAGGGAGCCACTTTTCAATGGTTTTCAACACCTCCTCCAAATCTAGATAAATTCCAGATCTGCTCCAGAACACTCAACATGTGCTCCTGCTCATAAACGTACAGCTGTGAATGAGGCCTTGGTAAAACTAATGCTAAAAGGAATAAAAGTGTGCTGCTTGCTGCAGTGTATCTACTGCTGCACATTGCAGCAATTGTCACAGGTTTGTGTCTGAAAGAAAAATAAATAAATAAAATAATGTTTAATTAGTAAGTAACCATATATTAGTGTAAAGTCAGGACATCACAACACAATACATTTACCTATACATTTTTAAATGCAAGGAAAATACGATTCCCTTATCTTTTGTTGTTAAGTTAAGAGGCCCATAAGAACACTAGTTTGTGTGACCTCATTCTCAAATAAACGAAACTATGCAAAGTAACAGAAAATAATACTGGTTATTCAGCAGCCAAATTGGCAGTTAGATCATTTATCTATATTATTTTTACCGTCTACATTGGAAGCTAGTAATATAGTGACAGCATCATTGATTATCCCATTATAACTGATGCTGTGATAATTTAGTGCAATAAAAGGTTATTAGTCTTGGGTCAGTAAGAAGTGTTTTTAATGTTACAAAAGATTTTAATTTGAAATAAATGCTGTGCTTTCAAATTTTCTATTCTATTCATCAAAGACCCCTGAAAAAAGTATCTTGGTTTCCACAGAAATATTAAGCAGCACATCTGTTTGCAACATTGATAATAATAAGAAATGTTTCTTGAGCAGCAAATCAGCAAATTTGAATCATTTCTGAAGGATCATGTGACACTAAAGACTGGAGTAATGATGCTATAAATTCAGCTTTACCATCACAGAAATAAATTACATATTAAAATATATTAAATGTTATTTTAAATTGTAATAACATTGCATAATACTACTGTTTTTACTGCATTTTTGATCAAATAAATGCAGTCAAGAGACTTCTTTCAAAAAACATTTAAAATCTTACCAACCCTAAACTTTTGAACGGTAATGCAGGTTGTAATTTAACCTATTTGTATGTTAAAGCTGTTAGTTATCATTTTTAAGAGTTGCACTTAGTGCTGATATGTTGCTAATGAACCCGTTTTAAAAATATAGTTTGCCACATCCCTATGAATGAATGAAAAGTCACACGTGCTACTTGCACTTCCTTCATCTGGAAATGAAAAGTCAAGTCAAGCACATTGTATTATGGGATTGCATGATGCGTCATGCATGTGTTCTGGTTGTGCACATTGAACTACTGTATTCTTGGATCTTACTATAAACCCTCCACGATGTCTGTCTAGGGTTCAGGCATTCTCTCTGTGTTTCCTCTGGTCCTTGTTTTCTCTCTCTCTCTTTTTATTTCTCTCTCTCTGGTCTGCTTTATCCTGCATTGCAGCTCTTCCTCAAAGCACAGCTGAAGAGCCAAGGCTATGAAAGCTGATCTGTCCCAGCACACACACACACACACACACACACACACTGAGCAGAGTTTGTGCCAGGGTCAGGCGAGAGAGAGAGATATACTCTTACAGTGTTTTCTCTGAGAGCTGGCAGTGTCTGCCTTTTTTTCCAAATGTGGTGTGACAGTGAATATGTCTGTTATTTATGCCAGGGTAATATTTGTACTCCATTAAAATGTGATGTCTATGCTGGATGGTTTTTATGCCAGCTGTCACTCTGCTCTGAATGCTTTATTTTTGGTGTCTTTTCCCTTTTCATTGAAATATCATGGGCAGCTTTGATCGCTTAGTGTGTCATTGCCATTGACAGCTGATTAATTGCAATGAAACTTGGCCTCTGGCAAACTACTTTTTGTGTTTTTTGCGAATTTTCTCATGTTTCATCGCCAGAATGTGACCCGGCAGATAACCCTAGCAATGTCCCAAAAAGTCATGTGACGTGGGTAAACAAATAATTCCAAATATGAATTTTTAGTAAGTTTTATTTTGATGGATTATTAGTTTTTATTTAATTTTTTTAAATTAATTTGATTAATTATTAGCTTTTATTACCTCACAAATCCCTTGTAGTTTTCTCATAAACCCCATTTTAAGTAAGTTTGTTCTAAGATATATATAGTTTGACATGAAAGATTTGGCTTCTACCCAAGATCTCACCAGGCTCGTATTATACAGTCGTACAAACAGCAATTGAAAGGCCAACAAAAAAAGCACACAGTATGATTAGGATCATTTATCAATTGATTAAGAGCGATAAATCCAGCATGAAAGAGAAGCTTCTTCAGAATCAGATATTAACACTTTTTCTCTTTCACGCTCTATTCCCTGCAGACCTCTGATGATGTAACGATTTGTTTTTTTAAAAACCGTCACGATTCTTACTAAATTAAAAACTCCATTAGGATACTCATTTTAAGTCAAAACCACCCACTTTTGGTCACACATTGTATTACACAGCATTTATCAGCTTGTTTTGATAAATGAGTTCTGATACGTGATGATGCTCATGAATTTGGCCTAATTCTAGCTTTGTGTTTCTCTTCCTCAGTGTACAACTGGACAGTGGATAAGGTTGTGGAGTGGCTTATTGACTATGTCGAGCTGTCACAATATGAAGACACCTTCCGGAAGTTGAATTTCAATGGTACATCCATGCCCCGGTGAGTAAACGACCAATTAACGGGTAGAGTGGTCCTTTAAAGCTGTAATTCTAAAAGTATAATTTTGATAATATTGAAATATTTTAATAGTGCATTATATGTGTTTATAATTGTGTATACACATATACATGCACACTACTGTTAAAAAGTCTTTAATGCAAACCAAGGCTGCATTTTGATCAAATATGCAGTAATAATGTGAAATAATGTGGTTATAGTTCAAGATAACATTTTCTGTTTTACTATTTTTAAAATGTAATTTATTCCTGTGATGATAAAGCTGAATTTTTAAAATCATTACTCCAGTCTACGGTGTCACATTATCCTTCAGAAATCATTTTAATAAGCTGGCTATTATTATCAGTCTTGAAAACAGTTGTGCTGCTTAATAAAAATAACTAAAAAATACAGATAACTAACACAATAAAAACATGATAACATAATAAAAAACATGATTTTTGAAATGTTTTAAAAACGGTTTAAAAAAAACGGTTGTTATCGGTTTTTGCAAATAAACTCTTCATATATACAGTGTGTATATATATATATATATATATATATATATATATATATATATGTATGTATGTATGTATGTATGTATGTATATGTGTGTGTGTGTGTGTGTGTATATGTAATTAAATATGTAATTATTTATATGGTCAAATGAATGGAAAATTCAGAACAGCATTTGAAATAGAAATATTTGAACATTGCTAATGTCTTTGCTGTCACTTGTTGTACAGTTTAATGTATCCTTGCTTAATAAAAGTATTAATTTCTCAAAAAATGACTGACCCTTAAATTTTTAATGGTGTTGTGTAAGTAAATATAACATTTATAAAACAAATATTATCCCAGTTTAATATGCCCAGACAACTGGAATTCATGCTAATCTCTGTGCCATTTGGTGATGACTAGTAGTGAAAAAATTAAACACCGCAGCTTTAAAGAAAAGAGCAGGATGTGTTAAATATGTTTGAGACTGTGCTCTTAACTTCTGACATGCTGGTTAAATGAGTTTGGTCCGAGTGTGATGGGAAACATTTGACACTTGTCCTAACTGAGCATTTATTCTATTTTCGGTAAGACAGGAATTACTTGGCCCTCAAAACTCGACCGCTGTGAGCATCATTCATGGATTTAAAACCTATTTATTATGGTCAAATGTTTCGTATTTAGCTCTGAAACTCATTTTTCTTTTTGACCTAATAAGTCTGGCCTCTTATTCAGAACGTGTCTGCTCCACTTCTGTATTAATTAATAATTTTTTTTCTTTTCTAGATTGGCGGTAAAGAACGTTACTTTGACACAGACCGTCCTGAAGATTCTGGACCGGAGTCACTTTCAGAAACTACAGCTCAAGGCTCTGGATACCGTTCTGTTTGGAGCTCCTATGAGTGAGTGAGATTTTCCTCTGGTAGAGCATCATAAATCGAACCAAAGCCATAAATCGCAAACTTTCAACTAACCAAAATCTGTTGTATAGCTGTCGTATATATTTCTAGAAATGTTTTTAGCAATCTGTACCGTGTGTCTGCGTAGTTGTGATTGTTTCACTGTGTAATCTGTCTTTATCTTTAAACATGTTCAAACGTGAGCCAGCAGCAGATGATTGATAGCCCACTAAAACATGCAAATAAGCTCAGAGGAACCTGCTTATCTACAGCAATTACTGATGTACATGTGGGAGGGGCGGTAGAAAAGCAAACATGGCGTTTCTTCTGATTTAGGATTGGTATCTGAGAACAAATTTTTTCAATTCTCCTTACAATTTTTCTAAACTCTTAACGCACCAACGCACCTATAACACACAATTGGCAAAACGGTTAATTTCATGCTCAAAATCACACATTGTAAACTAAACTCCAACACTAATTTCAAAATACAATAGGGCCTTTCGCACCGTGGGAACCTTTTCATAGTACCAGAATTTAATTTTGGAACTACCCACTTTTTGGCATTTTTCGCACCGCTTACGTATACGTCGACTTTCCATGTCCATTATTGTGAAACCCGCGAGACACAACAAAAACAGAGCTCCGCGCACAAATGACATTGCTGTTGACTGGCTTACGTCACTTCTTAGTACACACTGTCGGTGCGAATGCAACCCTTTAAATGGTACTGGGAAATAGTTTGCGCAAAATCGTCCCAGTACTTTAGTACTGTACATTTAGTTCTGGAACTAAAGCGGTGCGAAAGGCCCTAATAATACACGAACACAATACCAAAACACTGCAAACATGTCTCAAAATCAAATACTTATTCCAAAACACTAACACATGTTCTCTTCCAGCAGGAACGTTTAGTCAATCAAAGCACAATGTCATAAAAACACTAACATCTGATGGAATTACAAAAACTGCATTATTTTATTTTACTGTATGTGTCAGATCTGCCCTTATACAATACTATATTGTATTGATCATAGATTGTGTTTTGCAGTTTATTTGAAGTCTCTCTACATTTTTGTTTTGTTGGGTTTGGTAAATGCATGCATTTTGTTTCTTTTGCTACAGAAATTCAATACGAAAAATGAATGAGTAGCTTTATAGAATGTACGGTTTATGAAAAAAAAAAAGAAGACCGAGACAGAATTACTGAAGTAAAGGCTTTGTTTGCAACAGGAAATTACTGCAAGATAACAAAAATATATAATACAGTTGGCATTTATTATGCAAAAATATACAAACAGAAAAAGCCACAGAAGAATAAAAAAATAAATAAAAAAGTCATCTAATCTGCATGGTCTTCTGCATTCGGCCACATGATCTCATCCACATCACACCTGATATCTTCTTCTCTGGCAAGGTGTCTTTTGGTATGCCTTATCCACCCCTGGCTCAGCTGTGATGTCTTGGCATGCAGCATCCATTGCATCCAGGAGGGTCATTTGGTCAAAAACCTTCCGTCTCCAGGCTGAGACAAACTCCTCAATGAGGTTGAGGAAAGTGGAGTAAGGGGCAAGGAAAATGGACATCATTCTTGGATGGGTGTCAAACCAGTCTGTGACTGCACGGGAATAGTGTAATGCCACATGTTCCATGTTCCATGTGATCACATCTATTGGCAAGTGGCTTCCCACCCGTCCCCTTTCTACCTCTGGCACCAGTCTTTGGTGCAGATCTTCTAAAGTCTCACATTTATGCAGGAGTGCACTTTTCCACACAAGATCAGCCCAAAGAGGTCGTCTTTTACTGTATACTGTATGGTCATGCGATTGAAAGAACCTCAACACCTGAGTCTGTTTCCTAGATGGGAATCAGCTGTAATTTATATATTTGCATAACTTCAATCAGCTGTTTCTCATTAATGAATAAAAACGGGATATATTTGTGTTTCAATTCACAATAGGAACAGCTGTTCACTTTGACTTTAGCCTATAAGTTAGGTTTTAGAACATGATGTTATCTGTTCTGACATGCAGTGTGAAAGCATTTGTAAAATTGGCAGTAAAAATCCATTGTTTTGGTCTTGCTTGAGCTTGTGTGTAAAATAAGTTCAAGCATTTTTAATGTGTGTTAACTGCATGCCTTTTGTCAAAGCAACAAGTAATGCATTAATTGTATTACCTATACAGACGGATGTTGAGTTTAGGAAAATTGTTACAAATATTGAAAAAATTGTCATAGCGATTGTAAAAAAAAAAATAAAAAAAACTATTATTATCAGTGTTGAAAACAGTTGTGCTGCTTAATATTTTTATGGAAACGGTTACATTTTTGTCAGGATTCTTTGGTAATTAGAAAGTTCAAAAGAACAGCATTTATTTTAAATATCATTACAATGTCTTAACTGTAACTTTTGGTCAATTTAATAGCTGAATAAAACTATTAATTTCTATGAAAACATGGAAAAAATTTGAACAAAGGTGTATTATAGAGACCATAAACAGGCTAACAATAGCATTTTTAAGCTAGTTCTAGACAAAAAGACCAGACGAACCCATTGCCATATTTCGCCATATCGATCAATGCAATTACTTCCATTTATTTTTTCTGCAGTGGTCCTTTTTTTTTTTTTTTTTTTTTTTTTTAATGTTCTTTGAGACCAATTAGCCAGCATGCACAGGTCTAGCGAGGCTCGTAGTCATCTGCTGTTGGCCGATGGGGAAGGCTTGAGGGGTTGGATAAGGGAGGGTGTAGACGATCACTCTGTATTCTGAGCACACGTCTTTGGCGCACTAAAACGGATGCGGCCCATCGTGTCTAACCCTCCAGAATGCTGCTGTACTGGTTCGGCAGGTTTACAGGTATTTGTAAAAGAGAGACCGTTTTTGATCCATTCCCTTTCTTTTGTTTCATCGACGCCTTTTGTCTTTGCACAAATGCTTGTTCCCAGGAGCACATTCTTACACAGTCTGTTGCATTCCAGGGAGTGTTATCTAAAGAATCTGCCTCGACCTGGAAACGGGATCAGTCTGTGCCAGCATGCGCTCTTTCTGTTTTCTGACCATCCATCAGCTTGGATTGCAGGTCACAGATTGTACAGTAACCCTGCGATGGGATTTGATTTACGCCACACCCCAGAATACACCGGGGCTGACATAACCATGTGCTTCACATGCCTTTTGTTATGAGCAGGAACAAAGTTGTTTTAGTGCTAGAATGAGAGTGTTTGACATTTTATGAACGTGATTTAGCACAACGCTAAATGTCTTGTTCAGAATGCTGTTCCAGATCTGGCCAAAGCATTAGTTTTTATTAGCTAGGTGACATGCATTCCCTTCTGTTATTGGCATTGTTTATAAATATTTATTTTGAATTTATAGCTCCTTGAAAGCGAATTGGCCCAAAAAAGCTGGATCATCCTGTCAGAGATGTTGTGCACAGAGTGCAGGTGTTCTGTTTTTTATGTCCTGTATACATTTCCTTCTTGTTGTATAAAAAGAGCTACCTTGTGCTTTTAAAATTATAGTTTTACACAACACTTCACAACAACACTCACAGTGTGAAGCTATGAAATTCAGAAAATAATAAATATGGATGCATGATAAATTGTTACTTTATTGGCTGATAATAGTTTTTCAATTAAAATTTAGATTTTTTATTTTTTTATTTTAAACTTGGATTAATCTAACACTCAAAGTAAATCTTTAAAACACTAATATTATCACTGTTAAATGTTATCTGTAGCAGATTGCAATTTTTTGTCATACTGTACATTATATTGTGATGCTTAAATTCACTTATAGCATTTTAACTGACTGATTTTTATTATTATTTAGAAAAAAACTGTACATTTTAATATTGGGCATTTGTCAGCAACAATATGAAAATAAGAATTTTGATGATAAATGTTTCTTGAGCAACAAATTAGCATATTAAAATTTCTGAAGGATCATGTGACACTGGAGACTGGAATAATGATGCTGAAAATTCAGCTTTGCATCACAGTAAAAAATTACATTTGAAAATGTATTCAAATAGAAAACTTTTTTTTATTGTAATATTTCACAATTTTACTAAGCAAAAGAAATTTCTTTCAGAAACATAAAAAAGAAACTTACCAACCCCAAACCTTTGAACACTACTGCATATTTTTCAGCAGATGAATTTCAATTGATCGTTGCATCATATCTCACTTTTTTTTTCATTGTCTCATGCTGAGTTTTATTACTTTAAGACCTCTGTCCTTCTATTAGAGCGATGATGGAAAATTGCCACGTTTTTGTTGTAAGAAACTTAACTATAAAACTAAAATCTTACAAAACTCTACCCTTCAAATCCAGCAACCTTAATATTAGGCATTTGCATTTGACATTCCCTATTGTGGTTCCTATTAGAAAAACATCTGCTGTCAGCCATCATTGAGACTGTTTATGATCGTCACAGAGATATTAACAGGGAGTCATAGACAAGAGGGTCTGTATGTGGCAGATCTCATTGTGTAAGTTGACTCTGAAGAGGTCCGGCTTCAGGAAACCAGGGAGATGGTGCAGCCTGCATGTGATGGCTTAACACCGCCCTACCGATCTCTAGATACCAATTCCAGCTGCCCGGTACCTCAGGACAATGCTATCGTCAGAAACATGACTCGCATATCCCTCGTTTTTGTTAAAACGCTGACACAGTTGGCAGGTTTTAAAAGCCTACGCCTCAACGTTTAACAACAACATTTGAATAATTTGTCTCCAGAGAGTGTCCCATCACAGCCTTCTGCTTTAGAGATTTTTTTTTAATGTTAGAGCCATGGTGCAGCTGTTAGTGCAGATGTTCCAGACACATTGAGCTGTGGTTCTAATGTGGGTCATGCAGGTTTAAGTCCGGCCTTCCTTTGGATTTCCTGTTACTCTACACTACCATTCAAAAGTGTGGAAGAATTAAGATTTTTTTAAATGTTTTTAAAAGTAATCCCTTAAGCTCAGCAAAGCTTTTTTTAAGCAAAAATGTAATTGATTCCTGTTATTTTAATATATTTTGAAATGTAATGCAGAGCAGAATTTCCAGCAGCCATTGCACCAGACTTCAGTGTCACATGATCCTTCAGAAATTATTCTAATATGCTGATTTGCTGTTCAGTATTATCAGTTTTATATTGATTCAGAATGATTTCTGAAGGATCATGTGACGCTGAAGACTGGAGTAATGGGGCTGCTGAAAATTTAGCTTTGCGTTACAGAAATAAATTACCTTTTAAAAATATATTACAATAGAAAATAGTTATTTTAAATTGTAATTATTTTACAATATTACTGATTTTACTGTATTTTTGATTAAATAATTGCAGCCTTGGTGAGTCTTCTTTCAAAAATAGTAAAAACCTTTGGCTGGTAGTGTATATCCTTATAGTCAAAGGCAAAACCTCTGCAAAAAGTGATTTAGTGTGTTAGATTTTTGGTTATCAAAGCTATCAAGCTAATGCAGACCAACTATTTTTCGTGTGAGACAACCGGTCGTGCTTCCTAGAGGATGAGGAGTTGAGAAGAGAGTGTTATTTTCCATCTCTCAACGCAGACATTTATATTTAATCATGGTTATGTACAGATAGAGTAAGAAATTGAGTCATCCAGGGTCAGGGCTGTGTGCTGTCCCCGGGGCTATTGTTAGGTTAACTGTCTTGCTCAGTGGCACAGCAGTGGCAAGTATTGCAGTAACCACAGAAGCCCATGTATCCCTACAGTAAATGTAAATGAACGCTTTAACCTTTACGAGATGCAAGCACTGCAGCTTACTCTCTGTTCCAGTTCAATATTTGCAAGAAAAAAGCTTTTAATACCATGCATTAAACAGCTTTGTGGGAAGCATTTGGACAGCTTGCAGAGAAAGCCTGTGTTTTGTGTGCATCGGTTTGCAAACTGAATTTCGATGTTCTACCTCATTGTGCAGAATGCAGATTGACTTCTACTACTACAATCTACACCTCAGCTTTGCACTCTTAAACGGGTCATGGAATCTGTTCCAAAACCTTTTGAGCTGCCTACATATGCAACATTCTAAAGCATCATCAACACACTTCTCATGTGAAGGCTGTTGAAGAAGGTGTCCTTTGTTTCATTCAGTACGGAAAAGTATTAATTCAAAAACTGTTCAATCTATTAATAAAATGGCTGTTTTACCCAGAGACATTGTTCACTGATTCTTCTCTGCCTGCTCTTGAGTAAAACCTTATGGAAAGAAATACTGTATCTAAGGTCGATTTACTGTATGAGTCTTATTAGAAATGTTGCAAATAATGAGTTCATTTGTGTCTTACTGTGTTTACTAAAGGACTACTTGTCTGAAGTACATACTGGTTTCTGTCTCTCACAGTGAACAGACATAACCATCTGAAGGACTTCATGCTGGTGGTGTCAATAGTCATCGGAATGGGAGGCTGCTGGTTCGCTTACATCCAGAACCGGCACTCTAAAGACCACATGAAGAAGATGATGAACGACCTGGATAGCCTCCAACGGGCGGAGCAGAGCCTTCACGACCTACAGCAGAAGTGAGAACCTGTTCTGCTCCTCTATTTTTATATTCTTGGACAAGTGTGAGAAACTCTGTAGTGACTCTCGAAGCACTTGGCACATGTGTAAGGCGTTCCTTTGTCAGTCTGCACTGTTTTTAAATTGTTTTTTGTGCGTGAGCATGCGTTAGACCGGCATCTTTGTCTGATGCGATGTGTCTAATGCCACATTGTTGCATGAAGTTAAACTGTGCTTTTGAAAACTGGCACACCTTGCTTTGATATTCAAAATGACCAGGTTATGAAATAACCTGAACCTCCAGTTGAGCCTTGTAATCCTATTTATAGTGGAAGAAACTACTGACATATACTATGTTTTTACCACACAGGAGTTCAAAAAGTGAGAATGGCATTACTTATGATTTGCTGTCACTATCTAAATGAGTTCCTGTAAGCTTTGATATCAGACTGATTGGTCTGTTTTTACAGTGTTTAGTGAGCCTGGACTTCCCTTCTGAGGGAACAGGATATGGAGCCGCATGGGAATAAACTGCAGTAGACAACATATGTTTAAGACAAAGAGGAATGGCTTGAAAATGAGGAAGAAATCTATCTGTCATTCTGTCTGTCATTCTATCTTAAGTTAAAAGACTTGAAGTTCTGTTTTAATGCTATGATGGCTTCATGATTTTATGATATGACAAATGAAAAATGCATATTTGATAAAATAGTACCTTGTGGTACTTGTAATGTCAAATTAAACCAAATATGTTAACCTTGTTACCGTTTTTTTTCCAACATACATTAAAATATTAAATGTATCTTAATATGGCATTATGCAATTTATTATTCACTTTCTTTTTCCGAAAGACTTTACAGCACAATTTGTTTTCAAATCGGAAAAGGCACCCATTTCATAGAATGACCCATTGCTCACTGAGAATATTTACCAGCAAGTGTTGAATACATCAGACAGTGGAGTTTGCAAACCATTACACATATGCTGAAAATCTTTAGGAATGTGAGAATGTGGATAAGGCTCTGATCCCTCAATTCCAACCGTCATTCGCTAGCTTCCTGAGGAGTCCTCATGCAGACTCATAGTCTGTCACCTTTTGAGAGAAAGGCACAGGAGTGTGTGTGTCCGGAAAAGTTCCCGTATCCCTTTAACATATGAATGAAGTGTGTGAGCGTGTGTGAAGGGAAAGGGGCAGTGGAAACTATGCAGAGTGTATTTGTTACAGTGGAGGATGTCCAGCATGTTGTGTTCTGACGCAACCAGCAGAGTCACCGGGTCAAGTCTCTGGTGATTGGTGGGTGAGAGGCCTACAGTGCTCTGGTCGCCCCGGAGGGAGGTGATTAACCCCGGATACTTTGAATCATCTCAGCTTTTAACTCGAGGATAAAAATAAAATGAATGCCTCAGCCAGTTATGTCATACATGAACGCAGGTCCTTGTGGGCTGTCATTTCCCAAAAAGTACATTTAATTTGCTGTAGGCTTGTTTTAGGAACATTTCGAGATTAAACGAAATGTCAGCTTGCCCTTTAAACAAGCTGCAGTGGCTGTTTGTATGTAGGCATTTTTTTTCTCCATTTGAGACGTATTGTGAAGGCTTATCAAGGCCGCGGCAGTTGAGTCAGGCTTTGCAGCAGTTTCCTGTGTAGGTGTGTTGATGCAATTCACACCAGACAAGCCTCTTCCATATTACCACATTCGCGATCCCTGTCCAGTCACTCTGAGTCAGAAATGAGGCGTAATGTAAGCTGCCACTTCTGCATGGCAATTTACAATTCAGTTTGATTGGAATTGCATGTTGTGAAGTAGACTTTTACATTTGCGGAAGGATGTTGTGGGTGGGTGGCATTGCTTTCCAGTCGCTTTAGTGTGCCGCTGTGAGGTTGCTAGGTCATTCTGGGTTGTTGCGGTGGTATTGGTAGGATGCTTAGATGATTACATTACCAGTCAAAGTCAAAAGAATACGCAAGTTTAAAATTATACACATTCTGTTTTCATATTTTCATATTTTTATTTACTTGAGAGCAGTATATAGTATTTTACCACTACTACTACTAATATTTTATGTAATACATTATGCATGCATACACTAAGAGTCAAACCTTTGAACTATTTAAGATTTTTTAATGTTTCTGAAAGAAATCACCAAGGCTATTACAATTTAAACTGTTTTCTATTTGATTTGATTTTAAAACATATAATTAGGGATGATCCGATCAGGATTTTTGCAGCCGATACTGAGTACCGATTTCTTGTCATGGTGATCGGCCGATTCTGATGCTTCAAGCTTTATATAGACTGTTTCATCGGGCGCACGTGCCTGGCCCGAAGTTAACTGTGTTTGTCTGTGTTTGTTTATCAGTCTGGCTATGGCGCCGGCTACAAAAGGTGATGAGCAGACTGAAGTTGGGCTCAGGTGGTTGTGCTGTGGGATGTGTTTCCCATACATTTATTTATTTGTGGCGCTCGCCACATTATCAAAACTGACGGATTTTCCAAAAGGCTTCGTTGAATAAACATGAGCACGTACTGCACGTTTAAAAATCAAAACGAGGCGCGGGTGGTTTTATATCACTGTATTTCTGAAGGAAGACTATCTTTAGAAAATGTTCAATGTCATTTTCATTTCATCTTGCATGTTATATGCCTGATAAAGCAGCTTTTGTGAACTCAGTCAGTGCTGCTTTGTGTACAGCCGTTACTGGGGAAACCTCTGTTTCTCACGCTTTAAAGCACCTCCTGCTGGCAGAGAATGAATTTGCGTGTTGTTCAGTAAGTCCGTCTGATTTACGCCCTATATCCACGGGCGCTGCGGATAATCCGCGGGTCGGGTAATAAAAAATGCATTCTGATTATTTGCGGGTGGATAAAATAAATCCTAAATGATGCAAATATTAACTACATTTTTTTTTAAATACATTTTTTTTCATGAGGCAGACGATTTCGTGTGTGTGTGTGTGTGTGTGTGTATATATATATATATATATATATATACGTGTGTGTGTGTGTGTGTGTATA